GGAAAGAGCTTGTGCAAAAGATTGTTTTTTCAAAAGTTTTTCTGTTGTTATCTGACCAGTTTATATATAGGTAATTAAAATCCGTCATTATGACTGTCTCATTATGCTTTGTTGCCTCTGTAGTTTCACTGGAACAATGTACATTTACTGATTTTTTCCTGATCGTTTTAGGAAAACTGAACACTGCAAATTGCATGCACGGTATTTCAGATATAGCTAAGCCAGAGTATAACACATGGACCATATCTCTAAGTATGTGGTAAAGGACATATCTTCAGGGGCGTAGTGTGCCTATGCAGTGTTCCCCGTTTGTTGCCCCTATGCAATGATGGTGGTTGTCTTGTTTGCCCATGAAAATCAAAGGTGTCCTATTATTAGTTTTACAGTTCAGTTAATTTCTTGTTCATGTTCACAAAGTTGCACCATATCTGCATCATCATCATCAGCCTTCTTTTGTTGTGCTTATGAAAATCTTGATATTCTTTGACATCTCATGTTGGCACTGCTGGTTAGGCCACTCCTCATGCCTGTTGTCTTGGAACCATGTGAGTATTTTGTTGACCTTGTGATATTTTCACATGGCACCTGGCCTATAACCTCTGAAGACTGGCAGAGAGTGTTAAGTGCTGTCTAAGCCCTGTTGTTATTAAACCCTTGCCTTCTGAACATGTGACGTGACAAGACAAATAATAATAAAGTCTCTTTCTACGTGCATATATGTATAGTTGATATACTCGAATATCTCATGGGGGTTATTTTTGCCTAGTAGTACTCCACTAAAAGCTAGTTATCTTAAGCTGAGGCTCTTAGTTGTCAGTGACAATGATTTTCACCTATTTTAGACACCTATCTTTGGATGAGATCAATTACTCTCTGGAGGTGTGTATCTCTTTCCTTTGACATTTTAAAGAACCTAGGCTTGTGTAGACTTAGAATATGGACTTTTGGATACCTGAAGCTACGGAAGATGAACCCCCCTGTGCTGTGGAGACTATACTGATGCAGTTCTGGAACTTGGCTTAGAGCTCCTTGAGAATATGTGCCAAATGTCTTCTGGCACAGAAACAATGTAAAGCTTGCTGAAATCCCAAAAACTAATTGCTATCATAAGTAGGCCAGCTTGGAAATGCACCAATCAATTCGGCTGTTTCTTTCTTCTTAATGTGATTCTAAAAGGCCAAGGCAAATCTTAAACATTAGGCACAAACAATTTAGGTTTCCAAAAACCATGCATGTAACACCAGCTTTTTCTTTGGTAGAGCCAGATCTTCAGCTGGTGTAAAGAAACAGAACTCTGTGGAAAGAAAGAGAAAAATTAAGTTCATCCCATCTTGCAGATTTGGTTCTTCATCTCTTCTTAGCTGGTCTCTCATTCTGTCAAAATACCTTATTTCTCAGTTCTGCCAAATTGCTTCAACTTTAGACTTCAGGAGACCTCTAATAGCAGCAAATGGTTACCATGCCTGGATGGGAAATGTCTCTGTGTCACTACTATTTTTACAGATGTCTTTCCATTCTAGAGACATATACAAACTCATAAACAGAGTTTAGCATATCAGTTAAACTCTGCAGAAATTCCTCATAAAACACTTGGTATATGCTTCTTGTAATCACAATGCACCTTTTGCAAGATAAAAGTTTGTGAAGCTATTAAACTTAGGGAGAAAATAATAAAATTTTGAAGAGCTCTGTGTCTTAAAGAAGTCTAATGTCTGTTCCTCTGCTGTTAGGTACTCAGAGCCTCTTTCATTCTCGTTCTGAAAAAAACCAATATAATCTCTTGTTATCAAAAAAACCCCCTGTTTTCTACAACCCTGACTCTATAGCCGGATACTGACTGAGTAAAACTGAATTTATGGTTAACTAAGCTGGTTAGCAACTCTTTGTACTCCCACTTTTAGAGGGCAGCTCAGGCAAATGGCACAATCAGCAATTCAATACAGAAGTACTTTCCTATGTATCCGTCTTTTGTTCACATGCATCCAGCACTATTCTAAATTGAATGAATTTTCTACTGTCTTCCTCATCTGGATAAACATACTTGTGGCAAACATGGACCTGTGAAGCTTCTTCAAAAGCACGAATATTTTTACTTCTGTCTTTAAAATATGTGTGCACTTGAGTTATAAACAGTGCTTAGAATGATCCCCACCAGATTAGTCTTCCAGTACAGTTTACTTCAGATATCTTGAGGTTTATGTTTATTATATTTCCAATACTTCTTCTCTCATTTTGCATATCTCTATGATAATTTATTTTAAAAAATACTGAAAACCCCCTAATTAAAAAAAGACTTATTAAAACTTTCTTGATAGAGTTTATTTGGGCAACCAATTGTAGAGCAGGACTTCATCTAAATTCGTGAATTTGATTCACCTTCAGGATTAATTTTTTTTATCTGCTTAGGGTATACTTATGTTTTTTAACTTGCTTTTAAAATCAATGGGTGAATTAAGCTGTCAGGTGCCTGTGTGTGTCTCAAATTGAACACCACCAACAAAATGACAAAAGACATTCTGTAGCCAGTGGAACCTACATTGCCCACAGATTAGACAGCAGGTAGGGATGGCTTTGCAATTGAGACAAGAATTTCCCCAGAATAGTACCTGTTTCCTTAGGTTGACTTCCTTTTTAATCTAAAGAGAGTTTTCATGGCATTTTAGTGAATAGGAGGAGAATTGTAAGAGCTGATATATTCGAGCTCTAAAAGCTTCAAACAGAACAAAGTTTGTTTAAACAAATATGCCCGTAGCAGCTGAGATATAATGGAAGACTTGGAGAGATATTTTAACGCGGGGAATCAATCAGATGATATTTTTATACCTATACTATTTGGAAGTTATTTTTCTCTGACTAATTTTTTCTCTCTCTTTCTCTCTCTCTCTCCCTTTCATCACTGCAAGCTGAGTGTTGCTGTGTGCATTGGATTTTTTGCCGCATGGAGCCCTTACGCCATCATTGCCATGTGGGCAGCTTTTGGATCAATAGATAAGATTCCTCCATTAGCCTTTGCTGTGCCAGCTGTCTTTGCAAAGTCCTCCACACTGTACAATCCAGTTGTCTGTCTTCTTCTGAGGCCTAGTTTCCGAAATACCGTTGTCAAAGATTTCACAATTTTTCAGCAGCTGTGCATCAGGACTTGTTTTTGTGTCAAAGCCCTGCAGAACTATAGATCAACTTTGGAGATCAGCCTGAGAACATTTAATGGCAAAAAAGAATCCAGCTGTAACTCTTTGCAAACCGTGGAAGGGTGTTCTTATTTCCCCTGTGAAAAGTGCAACGATACTTTTGAATGCTTTAGAAACTATCCAAAATGCTGCCAGGAGAGGCTAAGCACAGTGGAATGCACTGCTCAAGACAGCGTGTCCTTGCACAACAGTCTGCAAGTAGAAGTGAGACAGGGCAGTAGGAAGTCTGTAAAGGTGGTTGTGCGGGGAGAAAAAAGCACTGAAACTGATAACTTGGAAATCACCTTAGAGACCATACCCGTGCATTGTGCATTTACAGACCTCTAGGGCTGCTTATCCAAATTCCTTTGACAGTAGCACCATTATACTGCATTTATGAATGTAACCCTTTCGAAAGAGCTCTTCTGCTACCCCATTTGCTATACTGTTTTCTTGATTTTCTCATGTATTCCTTGACTGGACACATGCTACAGCATGGACATGTTATAAATGCTGTATGACTCTCACCATGCTGACTTAAGTATATTTTGTGTGAACTGTATTCCCATCATAAACTATGTCAGATAAATCTTCTCTGCATTTTGTAGCATTGTTTTCAAGAGAATATGTTACCTACTGAGAGGTTTTCTGTAAAGTGTTATAACCCTTTCTGGACTCTGTTATGTCTTATATTCTGTATGTTCAAAACACAAAAGTCAACGTAGAATTTTAAAAGGACAATCTCATGCTGTTTTAATGGTTATAACATCTGAAAAGTAAATACTAACTGAAATGCCTGTTTTCCAGGAAGCAAAAATGAGAGAGAAAATGAGAGAGAGAGAGAGAGAGAGAGAATGACGGCATGTGTTGTATTTCTGGGAGGCACGGGTCACTTGTTCCTTGCTTTGCCATGAAGAGACAGGTTCTGACCTAATTCCACAAGAATGAAATCAAAGTATTTCTGGTAATTTGAAGAGTGTGTGTAAATTCTGTTTACTTTTTTGGTGTAATTTGAGAAGAACTTATCCTAGAATGTTATTTATTATTCTCACTTCCCTCTATAAGACCTTGGAATTATGAAGGTGAAGACATAGCCCAGAAATACCATAACGGGCAAAAATCTCTGCTAGTGTAAGCCACTGAAACCAGCGAAAAGCACCCCATATAAAGTTCCCAGTCCTTCAGAAATTTTTCCATTTGGCTTATGAGAATAATCTTGCTGAGTAAGATTATATACATCCTTTCTTTCCTGTGTTTTCGGGCTTCCTTCCACTTCTAGAGAGAAAAAAGAAAAGAAAAAGGAAGGAGCATTGGGGGAAGGGTTTTTGAAATGGTTGCTTCTCCTGATTCAGGAGGAGTTGGTTAAAGTGCTGCTCTGCTTCATGGCTTGCCAGCAAGAAACACCATATCCTCTGCTGCTGTGTGAGCAAGGGCAGAGTACCATGCTCTCATTTTGGCCAAAGCACAGTCCTCCGGTTCAGTTATTTTAGCTTTGTTTTTCAGCAGCGCCCAGAGGCCTGTGTTGATGTGGGAGCAACTTTGGGAGGTGAGGTAGTCCTCCAGCCAAGGAGTTTGCAGCCTGCAGGGCTGGTTTGTCCTACAGTTCCCAGGGGCCACTTTGACACTTCCTAAGCCTCAGGGGAATACCTGAATCTTTCTAAAGATAATGATTTGACAGCAGCACGTTTCACTGCTGTGTCTGTGTTGACTTGAAGAATGTACCTGACTGCAGAAGGGACAGCTGTGTTAAACTCTATGAAGGTCTCCAATTAGCCAATTTAAAGCGTTTTCTACTGCTGTAGAGTGGCATGTTTACTTAGGACATACTATTCAATTTGCTGTCCTGTTCTTAAGCTATCTTCATCCCCCTGCAAGCCTCCTTTCATCTTCCATTTTATTGTATGTGAATAACAATCGTGCTATGTTTTATTAGATTTACATAGATGCGTATGTGTTTAAAATACATGACCAGCTACCTGATAAGAGTACAGACTGTTTACAGTGCAGTACAGAAAAGACACCCCAAGGTCAAAAACACCATGGCTCTTCAGGAATTCTGAAAAAGCAATCAGAAAAGACAGTTTGGCTTTGAATACTCAGTTTCAGTGAATGTTTTCCCAAAGACTTCTTAAGACACATGCGTCAGCGATGCGTCACAAACATGAGCCTCCTTCTCTGGGGCTTCATTTCCTGGGACTTTTGTCACCGACTGCACGTGAGGTAGGATCAGGCTCTGAGACCCAAATCTTCAGGTAATGCTGACAGTTCAGTTGGTGAATCAGTGAAAAATAGGATTGTAAGACACGTTCAGAGGTCATCTAGTCCTTCCTGCTCATAGTCCCATTGACATCATGCACAAAGTTGAGTATGTGAATAATCTCTGGAGGATTCACTAACAAAGGCATATATTTGGGGATCTTAACTGGCACATCATTCTAAAGCCTAAAGATGTCAGACTATCAAAAGACAAAAAACAGTAATCTGCAGTGTGCGGAGGGGCTGCGTGCCTAACTTCCCTACAGATCTTTGAAATCCCACCTGTAGTATGCAGCATTTAAAATATTCAGACAACTGTTGGGTTTTTTTTTTGCGCTATGACTGCTGTGTGAGCTGTGCTGCTAACCAGTTATATGGTGAAATAATATTTTGAACTACTAGCCTAAACTGTAAATATTATTTTTCAGAAAGATATACATAAGCAATTTCGGAAAATAAGCAAGCTTGGAGTCTCCACGCCTGGATTTACAGTCACTTTCAATTTAGCATTCACTACGGGGAAAGCTAAAGCTGAGTTGCACGAGAAGGTGCTTGTTTTCCCTGGAAAACATGTGAATATATATTTACATAATACCTACGTGGTTAAAAGTAGAGAAAAAAAAAATCATATTATTTTAAGTTCCTCCAGATTGGCATTGGACTACCTGAACCTAGCTGTGAGTTCTGAGTATAGAGTAAAAAATTTGTTTAAAAGGCCACATTCAATTGTGAATAGAAAACACGGTGTTTTAAAAATGACTGTAGAATCCATGCCAGTTCCTTTTATAAGTTAATGGAACGCTCTGCCTTTGTAGCGAATTCCCATATACGTAGACATTAAGAATGACTACACTCGGACTGTATATTCCCTTTACGTGGAGGGGGGGGAAGTTTTTGTTCTTGTGTGACTAGCTTTTTCTGTAGTGAGCACAATCTCCAAAAAACATTTCAAACCTTTGGATTTTTCCATCTGGGTTTCATCAGGGTTAGTCATAAAGTTATTGCTTGTAGATATATGTGTAAATCAAATGCCATCAATTGCAGGGTCTCTTTACTATTGCACATTAAGGTCTGATGAAAGAGTTGATGGAATTAAAAAAAAAAGGTTTTGTTTTTAAAGATAAAACAAAGTATTCTCATCTGACAAATGACCTTATAATTTTTGTTGCTAACAACATATTCAAATACACTGAATACAACCAACTTTTATGGTGTCAGAGGTAGAAATGGTGAGCGGGGATTGCTGCTGTAGCATAACATAGAAGATGTAGGAGACCCTCCCTGCCTGCTATGTGTTTGGAAGGGGAAACACCATTTTTCCAGGCGAACTCGATTGCTCAGAACAGGCTTTTTGCTACAAGGTCACTGATTTAAGACTACTCCTGAGGGCAAGGGATTGAAAGTCACTCCCACCTGGCGGCAGGGGTTGGTTCACACTCAGTTCACATGCTAACAGGAATGTGATGTCATTGCACATGCATAGCTGGGTTAGAAAAGACCTGGTCTATCAATCAAGTGTGTGGAAAATCCCTCTTTGGATTGAAGGGGTGGAGGGACTGCTCATGAGAGGGGCTCAGGTGGCAGACCTGGGGGAGCAGGGACAAGCTGGCCGGTCTGGGCTGGGGGAGTCAATGCCAGAACAGCAGTAACTGGAAGCATGTGCATCTGTTCTTCTAAAGATCACATCACCCTCATTCTCACCCTGTACCTCTTGCACCCACTGGTGGCTTTGTCTTCCAGGTAAGTTTTGCGGTTGGAACTGCCTTCTGCTATGTGCAGGGAGGTTCTCCAATCCAGGTGGTGTCATCAAGTCTTTTCTCACAGCAGCAGGAGGGCTGAGAAGCCTGCTTGACGGCAACATGGAGAAGCTCATGTTGCTCTTAGCTGCCCTTTGTATCTGGTGCGGAGGGTGTATGTGTGCTGTAGGCAGCTGATACAGGATGTTTCAGGAGCATTGTATGTTCACTGTGTAAGTCATTTCATGTGCTGAGCAGTGAGGTTTTGGCACCAGAGCTACTCCTACAGTGCAAGAAGGATCAGCAGTTGTAGAAAGCAAGTGAACTTAACTGCCTACACTAGATGTCAGCTAGGAGAGGTGGACCTCTTGCTCCTTACATTTGCTGCCTCCTTCTCCATGTAATTGCAGAACATCTGAGGTTGGAAGGGACCTTTAAAGATCATCTAGTCCAACCCCTCTGCTCAAGCAGGGTCGCCTAGAGCATGTTGCATCTGGACCCTGTCCAGATGTTTTCTGAATATCTCTAAGGATGGAGACTCCATAAACTCTCTAGGCAACCTGTTCCAGTGCTCTGTTACTCTCACAGTAAAAAAGTTTTCCTTGTATTCAGATGGACCTTCCTGTGTTTCGGTTTGTGCCCGTTGTCTCTTGCTCCTCCTGTGACATTTTCCCTCTGTTGCACTTGGTCTTTTCCTGCTGTGCTCTCTCCTTCCTCTCTGCTCCTGTCCCTCCTTTCCCTCAGCTTTCTATTTCCTTTCCTGATCTTTTTCTCTCCTCCCCACTCTCTGGCACTCAGAGCACCCCAGGGGAACTCTGCAGCAGGTACCTTGCACTCTCATTACACTCAACATTGACTAGTAAAAAGTTGTAAACAGCCCAGTTTCTGTGTGTTGTCACATCTTGATGACTGATGGCTTTACCTTTTCAAATCATTACCAGTATTGAGCTGGTCCGTGGAGCCCAGAAGCACCTTCACAGCATAGGCTCATACTAAACATTTTGTTTCTTCTTGTTGTCTCACTGGCTTGTATTTCAAGGTTTCACAAAGGCTTTTCTCTGGTGCATCTGCCAAGATCATATGCTCTTGCAATGGGGTAGGAAGGGAGAGTGGGGCATTCCCATTATTTTTTCCCCTTTTAAACAAAAAAACTGTCTGTAGAGAGGATAGAGAGAAGCAGTAAAGGGATTAATACAGTATATGATTTTTCATGCTGTGGTCCCTCTCTAGCAACACAGGCCTTTTCCTAGGGTGGGGCTTTTAACAAAGAGCCCAAGGGATACTTCTCCTGTTATGTCATGGATGTAACTGTGTAAAGGACATCTGGAAAGAAAAGCCAAGAAGAGTGGATCTTTGAACAGGAAGGTTTTGACTGGCATGCTACTAGTTTAATGCCCCCTAGGAGGGCTAGAAAGAGGCTCTGCAGGTACATTCAGCTGCATGAGCAAGCAGGAGCTGGGGAGCTGTACTTCAGACCAGTTCTGCGTGCTCAGGCAGTGCAAGCAGTGCACCAATGAGTCATGAAATTGAAGTATCACTAAAATGAACTGCAGA